CATTGCCAGGACTGTGCACGTGTCTATTGCTAAGGTCAGACCTGTGCTCTGTAAAGTGTTTAGAGAAATGAGCTAATTATCCAGATATGTCATGGGCAATGCATTTCTTTGGTTTGCAAACTCACATATTAACTGCTTCTCCACTTCCACTCAGCGGCTGGCTCTGGGGCTGACATGTTTTCTATATGGCCTGATGAACAACATGGAGAAAAGGAGAATTTGTAAGAACTTGTCTGCATGTTTATTAAACTTCACTTAAGAAGTACACAGATAATAAAGCTTGAGGAATTTTCACAATTGACAAATAGACTGTTTCCAACACTCTAGAGAGCCCCCCCTCATGCCAAAAAAGAAGAACTTAATTATAAAATAAAATCGCAGGTTAGTGGCTGCCACATTTCTGCTTGGTTTATGAGTATTTACGTTCGTTGTGCAGCAAGTAGATGATGCAGGATTCGAACACAGGTCTGCCTGATCTCAGAGACTGGAAAACAGAATCAGGCAGCAATACTGGGAGCAGGGTTTTCTTACGTCTGTGCAGTTCATGCAAACTCCTGTGTCAGAGGTCCATGCTTATATTTGTTGAGTTTGCTGGCTCCCTGTCTGCCTTGCTATTTTCAGTTAACTCGCAGCCTGGTAGAAAAGAGAGAGAAATTAACAGAAAAATTAAGCAATGTGGTAAATTCTCTGTTGGGGAAGCCTGCGGGACTGGAGAGCTTTGCTGAAGGCCGTTCAGCCCTGGGAAGCATTGCTGGCGCCATGGTGCCCTGTGGCAGAGGGCTGGCTCTGTGGATGGCTTGGACTGTGGAGCCGGACTGTAGCTTAGGTCCCGGCTCTGCCTCTCACATCCTGAGTCGCCTGAGTCAAGATGACCAACCTCCTTCATGATCCAAAGCTTCCTTTTCTATAGGACAAGATGTGAAATTGCCTGCCTCATTGAGTTTTGGTGAGAATTCAGTGAGTTAATAAATCAAAGTGCTCAGCACCGTGTCTGGCACATAGTAATCCCAAGCCATACCTTTCGTTCCTATTATTTTTATCGATTTGGCTCTCAGATAAGTATTCTTAGATGAGAAAGGTTGAGTTCTTTGGTGGAAAGTTTTGTTTTGCTTCTGCATTTCATCATTTGGTTCTTTCTAATTTCTGGATTTCCATTGGTTCTTTGATGGCCCAACATAATTGCAGGTGCCTGACATCCTGACGGGAAATGGCGATGGGAGAGAAATGGAAGCTCCTGGGGGTGTTGGTTGTTGTTATTCTTGAGAAGTAGCCAGTGCCTGTTGGTTTCGGTGGTTCCCCGGGGTTGGTGTGCATCCTGAGAGCTGTGGAGTTGGAGAACTTCAGATGCCTGGCATCACCTCTGATCTACCGATCACAAGTTTCGGAGAACAGGTTGCTTTTTCTCACACTCCACATTCAGTACTGATATTAGCCAAATTTGAGGATCACTAGTGTATTCTATTCTCTTTGGTTAGATTTGAACGCATATTTAAGTGTATTAATAAAGTCACTTATTTATTCAACATGTACCTATTATTGGCAAGTTTTACACGCTAGGTACTGCTCTTTGTGGGAGAGATGATAATTAAACAAATAAATTAACAAGAAAATATAAAATAGCAATAAAATCTGTGATAAAACAATATTTCATGTGAATGACTTGGGAAAGCGTAGTCAAGGAAGTCATCTTTGAGGATTAGGCTGGAACCTGAATGATAAGAAGGTGACAATCATGGGAAGATATGTGGGAAGAGACTTCAGGCAGAGGAAACAGCAGGTGCAAAGGCCCTGGCACAGGAATGAGTATGGTGAGTTTGAGTCCAGTAGGGAAAGAGTATGGGTGAGGGGGGTAGTGTTGGGGCCTTACCAGAAGAGATCAGATCATTAGGGTTTTGTAGGGCTGGGTAAGGACGTGGAATTTTATTCAAAGCCACTGAAGAGTTTTAAGCAGGAGTGTGATATGGTCTGATTTATATTTGTAAATGATTGCGCTGGCTGCTGTGTGGAAAATGGATTTTAGTGGAGGGGAGGATGGGTAAATGTTTTCAGCCAAGGGTGCTCGAGTGTGCTGTAGCTGCCAGCCCTACAGAAAAACACCAAGATTAAGTTCAAACGTTCACCTTAAATAAGGACAACAGGCAATGATTTCTAGGAGCCCAGGGAGTCAACCACTGCCGTGATTCTGCCCTGGGCAAGGGGGAAAGAGCAAACATAACTTAACAACTCAATTAAAATCACGACATGCTTTTATTTCCAAAAATTAAGCATTTTCAAACCCGACTGTCCAGCTGCTTAAAGCATTCAGCGGGTTCCCACGTGAACATCTGGGAAAGTGGTCGTGGAGAAGACAGTGTCAACCTACCACTCACGGTTGTTCCCCCCAGAAGTGGATCCCAGGGCTCCCCACAGACTTCGGAAAAGTATAGCCAGTAAGTGATTAATTGTGCTTCTTGGTTTTTATGACGTCTCTGTCATGAACATCTGGACTCATGAGCTGTAGGAATATGCGTTAAAATCTCCCTCCACGGCAGCACCTGCCTCTGGTGTCGTCGGGTCATGGCTCAACTAGCCATCCTGCTTCCACGAGGGGTGCTAAGGCATCCGGGTTGGACTTAGGGGTGAGCGTTGGGCAGCCTGAGTTTGAATCTCTGCTTCTCCTTGTAGCTGAGTTTTCAAAGGCAAGCTCCTTAATTTCTCTGAGTTTCAGATACCTCGTCTGTAGAATAAGGACGATCATAGTGTCTACCTCATGGGGTTATTGTTAAGGATCCAAGAAGCGAATGCCTGTAAAGTACTTAGCCCGGTTCCTGGCATGGGCTCAGCACTCCACACAGACGCAGACGAGTACTTTTGGCTTTGATTACACTCATTTGAGCATCCTCCATACCCTTGCTATTTAAAAGGTGGTTCCCAGACCAGCAGCTGCATCCCCTAGGAGATTGTTCTGGTCAGAAATGCAGAACCTTAGGCTTCACTCCAGACCCGCTAAATCAGATTTTGCCCTTGAACAGGATCCAGTTGATTCCTGTGGGCGTTTCTGTTGGGAGCACTGCTCTAAGCTGGAGTGTCTACAGGGAGGAGAGCTGGGGCAGCTTTGATTATGGAAACTTTTTGGCAGCATCATGGTGGTGCAAAAAGACATCAACACCTGGACACAAAACATCCTGTGACCCTAGCTATCTGGGCATTCTTGGACAACCACATGACCCCTCTGGGACTATTTCTTCATCTGTAAAATGACTCATCTATTTCAAAGAATTTGTTTCCCCGTTTTCCATATTTACTTGCCAAGTGGCAATGGATGAGACCTATTATTTGGCATCACGATTAAAATAATGGAGAGTGACAGTGGTCCAGGAACTACAGCTTAGTATTTTTGGAAACTAAATGGGAGAGTTATAGTTTGGCTAAAAGGCATTGCCCTAGAAAAGACTAGCACTGTGGTCAAAAGGGATGTTTATGCCATTTATAAAATTGTCAGTATTGCAGTGTAACATAACGTACGATGACCATGTGCAGAAGTCACCAGCACGGCTCCAGGGTGTATATTTTAATGTGACACACGTTTAGCAGCCGCAAAAGCCTTTTATTATTTCCAAGCATCACAATCAAAGCAAGAAACACATGATATTGCTTACACTGGCAGGATATCTTCAAATACAAAAAAACTCCAATATATTCCAGCACAGGAAAAATACGCAATTGTACACCAAAGACAGAGCAACACAATTGTACACCAAAGACAGAGCATAACACAAGAATTCATGAAAAGGGGAATTCAGTGGCAGCCGGAAAGCACAACCTGAGGTTATATAGGGCAGGAAAGGGTCTTATGGGTACATACAGCACATAGCCATCGAAAGCACTAGTCAACAAATCTCGCCCTAGGCTCACAGGAATGAATTGCCTTCGGATAAGGTACAGACGTTGGTAACAGGGTCACCCCAACTTTCACACCATGTCCAGGAAAAGGAGCAGCGAGCCAAAAACATTGTGTTTCATAAATTATACTCAGAAAATCATGTGATAGAGACACAGTTACTATGAGCAAAACAGCTTCAAAGAAAGCCACACGCAGCTCCACAATTTCTCAAACTCTCTGAAATGATGGTCAAGCAATTTCTTGAGACGGATGCCCTCCCACCTATGATTCCCTCTCTTGTTTTAAAGACAGAAAAGGAGTAATAAGAAAAATACTTTTTTTTTAAATAGGGAAATTTATACTTTAAAATAACAGCGTATCAAGATACTTTGTACACACTTCTGTTGCGATTTTCCAAAGCACTTTATCCCTCTTTCATTAGAATTTTGAAGGCTACCTCAGATTTAATGCATAAAACCACAACAACAACAGCAAAAATAGAAGTGGGGTACGTTCCCAGGCTATTTTCAGGGGGAGGTTGGTTGGGGGTGTGGGTTGAAGTGGGGCAAACAGCAAGCACTGCTTCTTTCACGGAGTCCCTTGTTCTCAGGAAACTGCTTTACTGTAAATAGAGTAATAGAAGAGAAACTCAATCCCTTATGAAATAGGGGCACAGGCACCTGAGCAGCTGGCAGTTGGAGGTTGGTAGGTGTAACAGGTTTTCTTGGGGGAGCTTTGAACCAGCCTACTGTTCACGAGAATCCTTCAGTCAGCTCTGACCCGAAGCGTGAAGACGTGGTGGGAAGCAGGTGAGCAGGCAGGCACTGCAAACCCTGGGAGTGTGATAATGAATGCAGATGCCACCCAGAGTGGCCCTCGCTGAGTTCTGGCAGTGACTATTTGGGAAATCAGAGTTTTTGACTTACCCACATTGGAATCCTTTCAGAGAGCCTGTTACATACCATTTTCCCTTTCAAAAGGCTTTGCAAGCTTGAAAACAAAAGATGTACAATCATGGCTGTTAACACGTTTTTATGTCTTCTAAGTACTTTTTTTCCCCTTCTTCTTTCTAAACACCTTGGCTGCATGGTGGGCCCAAAGTGACGAGACCGATTGCCATTTCCCCGGCCCTGGCATCCTAGCCCAAGTTCATGCCATGGCAGCTGCAGAGAATCTCCTTAAACGTGTTGCGCAGTTCCAGGCTGCGGAAGGCGTAGATGAGGGGGTCGATGACGGAGTTGCACATGATGAGGACCAGGTAGGTGTTGAAGTGGGCGGTGTAGCAGACGCAGTAGGGGTTCCTGGGGCAGGTTATGATGAGGATGAGGTGGAGGAAGAAGGGGGCCCAGCAGAAGATGAATACCCCCAGCAGGATGGTGATGGTGACGGCCCCCTTCATGCATGAGTGCTGCTGTGGGGCCGCTCCATCAGCAGGGGGCAGTGCTGCGATGCGCTTGACGTGCAGCCTCGCAAAGAGGAACATGTGCACGTAGAGAGTGCCCATGAGGAGCAGCATGGCGAAGAACATGGTGATGAGACACACGATGACCATCTTGCTCTCAGAGTAGATGATGAACACCACGCCACAGATGCCGCAGCACACCCAGATGGCCACGATCAAGGCGAGGGCCTTCCTCACGGTCATGATGCTGTGGTAGCGGAGCGCATAGAAGATGGTGACGTACCTGTCCACGGCGATGGCCAAGAGGTTGCAGATGGAGGCCACCAGGGAGATGCAGATCATAGAGTCGAAGATGTTGTCCATGTGCTGGATGAACCGGTCCTCGAAGGTCAGGTAGTTGCTGTTGACGATGGCGATCATGATGGTCTCCAGGGCATTGGACACGCTCACCAGCATGTCGGCCACCGCCAGGCTGCAGAGGAAGAAGTACATGGGAGAGTGCAGGTTGCCATTCTTGACCACAGCCAGGATGACCAGGATATTTTCCATCAGGCTGATGATGCCCAGCGCCAGGAAGACCTCCGGCTTGATGAAGACCTGCTCGCAGAACCCGCTGCTGCTCTGGTTGCTGAAGGAAGAGGCTGCAAGGTGCTCTGAGCTGTTGGGCAGTGTTGGCTGAGCAGAGAGCAGACAGCACGAGGCATTCATCGCTAACAGACTGGCTGATCGGAACTGGGGCTCCAGCAGGGTCCAGGGGATGCTGCTGCTGCTTACAGAAAAGAAAAAAAATCTCCCTCCAGATGCTGGTTTGGATGCTACCAGTCTTTACTTAGATTTCATTTTCCCCAGAATAAAAGGAGGGAGAGAGAGAGAGAGAGAAGGCATCTTGGTGACATACAGAGAACTTTCCTCTGCTTCTCCAGGACAAGCGATTTCGTAGATATTCTTATCAGCTTTCTTCCTTCTCACTCTCACTCTCTCTTACCCCCTCACGGCCCCACATGGGAATAGAAAACCTATCACTGGTTGCTGCAGTTATAGCTGTTTTCATGGCAAGACAGGGGATGTGGTACCTGTTGTTAGAAGTGAGGGGTGAACCCTCAGCTTTTATACATTGGCTGCAGGCAAACAACTCCTACTCAATCTTCAGCGCAGCGAAATGACCACTGAGGATCGGGTGCCTCTCTGACTGACAGCAGGTACCGGCTCTTGGAGCTTGGCAGGGAGATTAAGAAGCAGTCTGGTGCCCTCTGCAGGCCAGACTGCTCATCTGTTTGCTGGCTTGGCTGAGCAGTTTTTTGTCATAGAAACTGTTGCAGGCATCCATTCTTCCATTTATTCGTTCATTCATTCATTTATTTTTTTTGGTAGCAAATGTCTATTGGGCACCTACTGTGTGTCAGGTCTCTGCTGGGTGCAGGAAATATAGTGGTGAGCAAGAATGACACACCGTCCCTGTTTCCTCCAAACTCAGAGTCTGGGATGGGAGTGAGAAATTAGGCAATTACATTACAGTGTGATGAATGCTTGAATCAGGGAAGGTCAGGGAGCTGGCAGAGCATAGGGGGCCCTAATCTGGATGGTCATGGAAAGTGCCTGGAGGAAGGAGCATCTAAAATTTGACCTAAAGGAAGAGGAGGCAATATCCAGTGGTGAGGTGGGGGGGCTGGGGCTGAAGGGGTTGAAGAGGATTCCAGACAGAGGGGACAAGATACTCATAACCAGGAGGCAAAAAATAGTGGCTCTCCACCTTGGCTGGCTGTGGGAGTCATCCAGAGAATGTGGGTGCAGGGGTCCCACCTGCCTCCTGAATCAGAATCGCCCAGGGGCAGGACCTGGCCAGTGTGTTTTCAATTTCTGGCAGTGAGTGGGGCATAGCCAGGGTTGAGATCTACTGACAGGGAAGCTTGGTGTTTTTGAGGAACTGAAAGTAGTTTGCTCTGGCCAGAGTGTGGAGCTGGGAGGCACTTTGAGAAATGAGACTGCAAAGGTGGTTTTTCTGTTTTGTTTTGTTTTGTTTTTTTAAAAAAGGGAGAAGTGCCTGGTTCCTGAAGGATGATATCAGCCGTATGTGGGAGTTTGGATTGTCTCCTGAGGGCAGTGCAGGGCTGTGGAAGGAAGGGTTTTAGACGCGGCAGGGACGAGATGGGGTCTGTATTTTAGAAAGATTCCTGGTTGCAGGGTGAGGACTGGTTTGGAAGGGAATGAGCGAGGAGCCAGGAGACCAGGGCTGCACAGACAGTTGCCTGGGCGAGGAGGCAGCCATGGGGCGTGGGAGGAGTGGACAGAGGTAGTTAGGAGGTGGGATCATGGAGATCGGACTGGGGGGTGACACTGAGGAGATCATGGAGACTGGGTGGATATGGGACTGTGGAAGAGGGAACAGCCGGGGAGCACTTCCATTTCCTTCTCAAGTAAAGGGAGGATGGAGATGCCATTTGAGCTGGAAAATGTAAAAGGTAGAATTTACCAGTTGATTTGAATCCTCGGTTCATGTCAGGTTTGATGCTGCACACAAGGATCATATAAACTCTGGAAACACTGAGTCCCCTTGCACCCCCCCCCCACATATTCCAGATGGATTAATGATCCATCTAACTATCATATCACTTTGTGAGTGTGTGAGTGTGTGTGTGTATGAGGTGGAAGAAATATGCATAAGGAAATAGAAGAAAATTTAAAATATTTATAAAACGCTTGAGTGGAGAGATCTTAACAAGAAGGGCAATCCAAAATTTAGTATGGAGAAAAGCACCAGAGCAAAGTCAAAAGGCAAACAAGAAGAAAACATTCGCCATAAACAAAGGTTACTATTTCTTATATACAAAGAATACTTCCACATTAATTAGAAAAGGATGAATTACCTCTTAGAGAGTTGGGCAAAAGATATGAATAGAAATTCACTGAAGAGGAAATTCAAATGGATAATGAACATATGAGATGTTCAACCTTCTGAGGAGTCAGGGAGATGCAAGTCAAAGGGAGACTTCAATACCGGTTTTTCCAGTTAGATTGGCAAGAATTAAAAAGATCGCAAATTCAGGAGAGAATGTTGAGAGAAGAATATTCAAATGCACTCTTCGTGTTTCGGAATAGTTTCATCATTTGGCCGTTTCTAGTAAAATAAAACATGCCCCTGGGTATGGATCTCAGTCTGTGAACTGAGTGGCATGAGAAATACCACTTCTATTTATTTTCAACAGAGCAACTTAATTTCTGATGCTAAACCAGCATCTTCTAGGTTGGGGAAAAATGCAATCTTAATCCTTTTGGGGGCTTCTCCTCCTCACCCTTAGGGTCACATCCAGGGCTGTATTTTAACTGTGTTGGTCTGTGGTTTCAGGGACACTGGTCTTATCTGCAAAGCTAGATTATAAGGCAGGGACCGTTCACTATCTGCTGGGTTTTTCTCCACTCTGTGCTTGGCTTGGGCTGAGCACGGACTATCTTTCTTTGCTTCCATCCTCTGGTTATGTGCATCCTTCAGAGAGAGCAGATGGGGCCTGGTACTTCAAACCGGCATCCTCAGAGGTACCCTTGTTGCTAATAAGTGTTGATTTAGTCTTCTCTAAACACTACTTCCCACCTTCCTAGGGGAGCCCTACAGCAGCATGGCTTTTTAGTTGAATCTTCTATGAATGAATTGGCTTTGTTAATAACAATTGCAAGACATGACAGCCTCCGTCAGTATTTCCTTATGTTGTGGGCACATGGAGGGGTGCCTGTTTTGAATCTGTTATAATAAACTGTAAACAAGGAGATTCTTGTCCTAAGAGATAATCCATTTGGGGTTCTCTCTGCCCAAAAAGTGCTTCCTCAACTTTGTGGCTGGAATGTTCCCCTTAGCCTTCAAGACCCAGTTCAAATGTGAACCATATTTTACAGCTTTCCTTGAATTTCATGCGGCGGTTTATTCTTCTTTCAACCACTCCCCCCTCCACAAACCGACAGAGTTCAGCACTCCATCCCCACTCTCATGACACACAGGATGTTACATAATTAGAAGTCATCCCATGCCACTAAAAAGGGACAGCATTGGCCAGAGGTCATATTAGAAACAATGATTCAATTTTATCATTAATCCTAATTGTTTCTGAGGAGGAGATGCCTCTGATGCCTGTGTCCCCACCCCCCAGCCCACTTCTGATTTCAGCCACCTCCTGCTGGACAGTTCCCTGCGAGCTCGGTTTCAAGTCACCCTGCCAGGTACCGGTCCAGGGCTCCACCCACATGGTGCCCCAGGATCTTCCCTGGTGTAGAGGTGGGGTGGTGGCCCTCCTAGCCTGATCAAGTTCTGCTTGGAAGTGAGGGGGAGTGAACACCACCCTGGGCAACCCTTAACTAAGGAGAGCTGGAGTCCATGGGTACATTCTCCTGCCTCCTGTCCTTCAGGGGAACGACCTGAGATGCCTCGTATGCTGCCCAGATGTCCTGGCACATTAAGCCCCCATCCGGTACAGCAGCAACCTTATAAAGTATCTTTTCCTCCTCACTCATCTCATTCTTCCTTCTCCCACAGGCCTGTTTCCTGGGTCATGTCCCAAATAAGTCACCTGCTTCCAGGTCCCTGTCACAGGTTCAGCTTGTGGGGAGAGGCTCCAAACCAGGCACACAGAACACCTGCTGTGTGCCAGGTGTCGCTGGGCGTGCTCCTTCCCTCGCTTGATAATTTACCCCAGGAAGGCGGGACTATGGGTTGCCCACCCAATACCTATTCTCCCCTTCTTCCTCCCTAATGAACTCCTGATTTATTGGAGACAGCAGCATGCTCAGCTAAAACACTCATTTCCCAGCCTCCTTTGCAGAAAATGTGACCCAATTCTGGCCAATGGGATGTAAGTCTTGCGTGGGACTTCCAGGGAGGTGACTTAAGTAACCCAACTGGCAGACTCAACGAGTACAACTAGTCTTTTACTCTTGACAGTTTTTCCCATTTGCTGCCTGGAATGATGACACGAAGGCTGGAGCTCTATCTCCTATTTTGTAAGTCTGAGGACAAGGGCCAGATCCTATGAATGGGGGAGCTGAAACCTGGATGGGGCCTGAATCCCCAATGACTTTATGAAGGGGCAGTCAAAACCCTGAACTTCTTGCCTGTAGGTTTCTAGTCATGTGAGAGAAAAATAACCCTTTATTTATTTAAGTTCTAGTAATGTGAGGTTTTCTGTTCCACACAGCTGAATGAAATCCCTAAAACAAGACTATATTTAGTCATCTCTGATTTTTATCAGAAACATATCAGGTGCTTGATAAATGTTTGAAAGGAAGAAACGCTTAGCCTTTTCTTTTTCTACTCCAGACAATCATAATTGTGTAAGACCCAGATAGGCTCTACTTTTTAGGTACTATTAGGAGATGACTCCATTTGTCTGTAATTTTATCCATAATTTTCTCTCCTATCAGAACATATGCTGCTTGCGGTTAGGACCTGTCCTCATCTGTATACGCCAGTATATGGCACAATCGATAGCCTTGAAATATTATTACAGTAGAGCCACTTTGGGAAATAGTTGGCAGTTTTTTAAAAAGTTAAACATAAATTTACCATGTGACCCTTATAATTCCTCTCCTAGATATCCATCCAAGAGAAATGAAATATATATTCACATAAATACTTGAATGTGAATGTTCATAGCGACATTATTCATAACAGCCAAACAGTGGAGACAACCGAATGTCCATCAGCTGGTGACCGGATGGACAAAATGTAGTCTGTCTACACAGTGGGACACTGTTGAACAATAAGAAGGAGTGACACACTGACACGCGCACAACATGAATGAACCTCAAAAACATTATGCTAAGTGAAAG